GTGGTGGGTGGGGAGTTGGGGAGAGATAGCATGGGAATAAATGTCAGATATAGGTGATGGGGAGGAAGGCAGCAAATCACACTGCCACGTGTGTACCTACGCAACAATATTGCATGTTCTTCACATGTACCCCCAAACTTAAAATGCAATAAAATAAATTATATATATATATATATAAAGAAAGTGTTCTTATTCCTGAACTTTGAGGAAAATCTTTTAGTCTTTCGTGTTTGAGTTTTAATTAGCTGTAGGTTTTTTATTTATGGCTGGTCTTAATATGTTGAGAATGTTTTCTTCTATTAGATTTTTTTAGTGTTTAATTATGAAATAGTGTGGACTTTTGTCACATCCCTTTTCTGTATCAATTGAGAAGATCATGTATTTTTTTCATTTACACTGTTAATGTGGTGTATTACCCTGATTAATTTTAATGTGGTAAATTGTACTATACTTACATTCCAGGAATAAATTCTACTTGCCATGTGTTTAATTTTAACATCTTTCTATATGCTGTTGAATACAGCTTCTAATATTTTGTAGAGGATTTTTTCCATATCTATTTCTAATGAAATTCACAATGAATTTAGGGAATCGCTGAAATACATATAAATAGAAAAATAATGCAGATCACATTTACTTAAAGGGAAGTTGAACAGGTATTTATATAAGTTGACTAGCTATTTTTTACCTACAATGAAGCTCACACTACAATGTTATATTAAAAACGATCATATAAAATATAGCTGTGACAGTTATTGTATAAGCTTTGTATCAGATAGGCACTAATATATACATACCCACATAAGAGTGAGAAAACCAGAAATATAAAAAAAATTGACAATTATTATCTCTGGATTGTTGCCCAATAGCTGATTTTTTTTTGTACGTTTTGTATTTTCCAGGTATTTTAAGTCAAAATATTTTGTCTGGTTCAATGTATTTAAAAGAAGATCATAGGATTCAAGTTTTTGATGAAATTATTCACCAGTCATTATAAGAAATTACATGCAACCAGGATATCACATGGGGCATTGTTTTATTTAATTGCTTTATTTGTGTCCTCCTAGGCAATACTTCAATGATTTCTCTAGAGTTAACATCCCTAAGGCTTTGGTGGCATATACAAGTGTAACACAGTTTGGTGTTAGGATTCAGCCTTTTGGTCACATTTTCTCTCCGTTTTCACTAAGATTATTTTGAAAAAATTATGGGAAAAAAGTCATTTTCTCTTGAAACATTCGTTGATATATAGTGTAGACTCCAGCCACTTTTGTTATGATTGGCCTTTTTTTTTTAAGTTGGATTCTCCACAGGAAGTTTTTGGGAGTCTATTAATCTTTGCAAAGAAGCTTTAGTAAATGAATAAATCAATTCCTTCTGCACTTAAGTGAGTTATTCAATCATTACTTTATATAACTTTAGAAGGAAAATAGTCTGTTCCAATAATCTTTGCAGGAGGTAAACCCATGTGTAAATCTTACTGCTGTGATACTCACTCAGTCCTGTTAACTGTAAATACTTGATTCATTACCTTTCACCATATTTCTTAATTGGCCTGTATTACTAGGAATTGCTTTTATTCTTATAATCAGAATGTTCTTCTACTTCTTTTTATGTTCACAAACTTCAGTTTCAATAAGTAGTAAGAATTGTATGCTATATTATGTGATTTGCAATTACATGCATTATTCCTCAAAATAATTTTTAGAAGAAAAAGTTTTGAAGTCAAGGCCAATATTTTCTAATTTTGTAATTTCTAAAATGCCTATGACAGCGCTGAGTACATAGTAAATGCACAATTGGAAAGCCACGTAGGGCGTCACTACAGAAGAGGGAAAGCCTGTGCACAGCAGCATGAGCCTTTGTTCAGCTAAACAAGGGTGACACTGCCTGGGGCTAAATGGGAGATGGTGAACTCTGGCCCCACATCTTTTGGTAAAGAAATAGAGTGTGAAAAGTGGGATGAAAGTGAAACACATAGAAAGGAAACAATATGTTGAATACATATTTAGAAATACATATCTTAGATGAAAATGATTTTCTTTTCAAGCCCAGGATGCTCAGATTTTGTTAGAACATCCTTAGGAAAAAATACAGATTTAGGAAAATGCTTGAAAAAGCATGTTCAGTTAGAAAATTTGCACTCAATGGGTTTTGTGTTAAACTGAATCATACGTTTATAAAATCACAATAAATGTAGAAGATCAAATCACAGATATCAAATGAAGTGAATCTAAGGAAGCAGTTAAGGAAAGAAACTGCATGAATATGTAATATGTACATATATATAATTTCATATATAACCCTAACCTATACAATACTATATATTTATGTATATATATAGTCATATATATATATTGCATGCACTTATGTTTTCTGCAAAACATAAGTGCATGCCGTATGTCCTGGAGGCTAAACATTGCAACAACTCAGTGTAAACTAAAAAGTATTTAATTTCAGCTAATGATAAAGCCTAGAAGTTTTACAGATTGCTGTGTGGAATGGTGTTCTTTTTATGCCTACTACTATTTTAGCTTTCAGTAAGCAGTCATGACATGGTTCTGGATTAAATGGCACAAAACTGCAGTTTAGTTATTCCTCATTTTCTCTTCTAACTGTCCTTGCTTTTTTTTTTTTTTTTTTTTAGACAGAGTTTCGCTCCTGTTGCCCAGGCTGGAGTGCAATGGTGGGATCTCGGCTCACCTCAACCTCCGCCTCCTGGATTCAGGCAGTTCTCCTGCCTCAGCCTCCCGAGTAGCTGGGATTACAGGCACGCGCCGCCATGCCCATGCCCTTGTTTTATTCTAATTCAAGATAGTTAGATCTCACGGGGTTTCACTATAGCTACTTCATCTTTAGGACTCAAGATGTGTCTCAGTGCATTGTGAATTTACTATGTGGTCTTGATTTAATAGGCAAGTCTAACTTCTTTAGTAGTATTATGAACTTATACCCCAATACAAGTATAATATGTGGCTAGAGCTGTTCGATCATATATACATTCATTTATTCAATAAAGATTATTGAGAACCTACTATGTCCTAGCCTTCCATATTTCTCCTCATTAATATTATTTTATTGTAGAACAATAATTTCCTGAAATGGCAAAGAAGAAAACATGAGTAAAATATATATTATATTACAGATATTGCATAATATTGATATTTTTCAGGGTTTATCCTAACAGATAATGACGTAGTTAAAACTATCACCATGGTTCTGATGAATGAGTGAAGTTGAGATAAAATTGTTGGAAAAGTTGAAGAAATTATAAGAATAGAGTATCGAAAACATTATCTGTGTGTCTATTGTAAGCAATTCAATGCAAACAAAACCAAACAAAAACTTTCTAACCAAATAAAAACTGTTGTAATTCCTCTGGAAGTGATGTCTCATCCGTGGAGGTTTGGAGTTAGATGGAATTTTGATCACCTGAGAATGATGTGGCAGAAAGTACTTCAGAATAACAAAAAGGATCTGGATGTATTATTACTGTTTCCAGCCCAAATTATGCAAAATATCTGATATTAAAATATATCACGAAAAAATAACAGATTTTTACAATATTCAGCAATTAGATAAATGTGGCTGATCAGGTGCATTACTCACATTTTACAGGAGGATCTAAAATATGTGGAGAGAAATGTGTGATTAGATGTAGGGAGGTCATTGGAAAGGGAAATTCAGAAATAGCTATAGAAACAACTGTTACCAAAATGTAATGATCATTTTTCTGAGTCATTAATTTTCTTTTTTGAGTTCCAAGTTCTCATCATTTAATAGATGAAGTGAAAAAATTACTGAAACTCAAAATAAGCATTGTATTGAAATGAAATAAAATGGCAATGCTTATCTTCCTCCATGATAAGCATCTTCACTAAACTCTGACTCATGCAAAAGTTAGACTGGTCCTCCTCATGAAGCCAGTTGCCTCTGAGGCTATTGAGCCAGATCATTTGAAATACACTGGAGCCAACTGCACTTTTGTTCTTGCCTTCTCAATTCCCATATTTCATTATTACATTGACACACAATTTATATGCACTGTATAATTGTGATATTAGTATATTCTAGATTTTGAAACAATGTAATGGTTGAAACTAATCTTTTCCATGACACTCTTTATGGATAAGCTCTAAACCTCACAACACTTCCTCATTTTACACAGCCTTGTCCAAATATTTATTCTTGCATCTCTGAATCAACTTTCCTATTTTGTCCCAGGGGCCAGGAAAATCAGACTTCTGATGTCACCTTCATCCTCTTGGGCTTCTCAGAATATCCAGATATTCAGGTGCCCCTGTTCCTGGTCTTCCTGACCATCTACACAGTCACTGTGCTGGGGAACCTGGGCATGATCATGGTCATCAGAATCAACCCCAAACTCCACACCCCCATGTACTTTTTCCTCAGCCACTTGTCCTTTGTTGATTTCTGTTATTCCACCACCGTTACCCCCAAACTGCTGGAGAACTTGGTTGTGGACGACAGAACCATCTCCTTCACAGGATGCATCATGCAATTCTCCTTTGCCTGCATATTTGTGGTGACAGAAATATTCATGCTGGCTGTGATGGTCTATGACAGATTTGTGGCGGTGTGTAACCCTCTGCTCTACACAGTTGCAATGTCCCAGAGGCTTTGCTCCTTGTTGGTGGCTGCATCATACTCCTGGGGGACAGTCTGTTCCTTGACAATTACCTTCTTTCTCCTGGAATTATCCTTCAGAGGAAATAATATCATGAATAACTTTGTGTGTGAGCCTGCTGCCATTGTTGCTGTGTCATGCTCTGACCCCTATGTGAGTCAGAAGGTCGTTTTAGTTTCTGCCGCATTCAATGAAATAAGCAGCCTGATGATCATTCTCACTTCCTATGCTTTCATTTTTATCACTGTCATGAAGATGACTTCCACTGGGGGGCCCAAGAAAACCATCTCCAACGGGGCCCCCCAACCGAACCCCAATAACAATTTCCAAGGGAACAAACTTTTTCTCTATTGTGTTCCTAACTCCAAAAGTTCATGGCTCATGGTCAAGGTGGGCTCTGTCTTTTACACAGTGGTCATTCCCATGCTGAACCCCTTGATCTATAGCCTCAGGAACAAAGATGTTAAAGAGACAGTTAGGATGTTAGTCTTCACCAAATTATTATGTCTCATAAGGTCTAGAAGATGAACTTATTTCTATTCAAGAATATTGTGCAGAACTGCCCAAAAGTCCAGAATTGCTAACAATCCAAATTCCTTTTTCAAACAGGAAAGCATTGCATGTATTTAATATAACCCCTAGTTAGGTGGTTTTTTGACATCTGTTTAAATTCTAGTAGATTAGCTAACAAGTAATACAGTAACATAATCTCTAATGATTTAACTTGTCATTAAGTCAGAATTTGTTATGTAAAGATTTCTGAGTTAATATACATTTTCCTTTTGCTGCCCAGGTAAGCCTTGTTTTCTTTTTCAGTTGTTGGAAAATGGTCTTGTAGATTTGTTCTGAAAATTTATAGCTTACCATGAAGGTGGATATAGCAAATGCAATACAGTAAACTAAGAGAGGTTCAGTATTCAGACACTAAATTTAAAAGAAATAGTTATTAAATTCCACATAGAGTACATTGGTATGTGTATAAGGCATACATCTGCCCAAAAAGTCCAGAATGTTGTTTGGTAAAATTGTATTCGTTTACATAAAATTTTATTTGTTCATTGTATACAATATATCAAAAACAACAATAGTCACATATTTTAGAAATAGCTATTTTGAAATCTGAATTTGTCATTCTCGACAATCTATTTCTATATAAGTTATATATTGATCCATATCAAAATACCATAAAGGTCAGTGATATATAACATTAGGTAATTATTATTATTTTATCTATTGATTTGGCAGTTATGCTAATATCAGCATGTGCATTGTGGCTGTATTATCTAGTCTAACATGTCTAATGGGAACTCATAGACCTGCATAATAATTGAGTAGCTCTGCCTCTATGTGGCTGTGATCCTGTGAACCATTGAGCTAGTTGAAGTATTTTATTCCACCCTTGACGGGAGAGTCACAAGTGGCAATGTACAACAACAAATGCTAGTTCAATCCTCCATTCATGTCATGTCTTTTAACATTCTTTTAGGCAAAGGGAATCACATGGCTGGGCCCCAAGTTAAGGATTGAGGAAGGATGTCTACCTCTTATTGTAGAATTGAAAAGTTACATGGCTAAGAACATAGATACAGAAAGTCATGAAGCATTCTGCCTAATATTTCTATGTACCTAAATTGTTGGGGAACTTTAGTGAATGGGAAATTATCCTTCTTATTCCAGATAACTTTGGCCCTAGTTTGACAAAAGTCTTCTAAAAATTGATGAGGCATTTAATTGGCTTAACTAAATGACTGTTTTTGTTGACTGTTACTCGCTGTTCGTTGTTCATGTTTAAGAGGAAAGACAAGGTCTTAGCAAATTTCCATATATCATGGTTCCAATATTCCTGCCCTTCATGTTCAAATAAAAATGACAATTTCCTGTACTATATAGCTTTATTATAAAACTGTTAAACCTAAGCCACTTATCTTATTACTTAGTAATACATAAAAATATTTTATAACAAACTATATTATGTAACTATAGTATTGCATAATTTATATAACTTCTAATCGTTCTTCAAATAGGGCTCATATACACTCAAGTAAATGTTCCTGTAAAGTACATTAATAGGTTGTGTGTATGTTAATAAAAACATTTTAAGAAAAAAGAAAAATATATTTAGAGAACCTGAACACAGTATAAAGTCAACTATATTTGCCACATTCTGTAGGTCCCTGGATTTAAAATCCTATTTGAAAAAACTAACATGATAGATATTAGGTAAATTATAATTTGTAAACTATAATTAGTTGAGCAAAGCAACATCTTAAAGTTATTGTTTAGTTATTTTTGCTATATGTTTCTTTTTCTATTTGTCTATGGCTGAAATTCCAGTATTGCCTTAATAAATAATTATACCCTTCCTCTCATAGAAGTAACATTGTTAAAGAATAATATCAATCTTATGTAAACTCTCTTACATAATAGAATAAGAGTGGATGCTTTCCAATGCATTTTATGAGGGTAGATTTGCCACAATAGAAAATTACCAACAAATTACTCTCATAGATGTATCTGCAAAATACTACAAATATAAAAGTCTAATTCATTCATTTAAAATGTTACTATTTTGTATGCAAGAGAGATTTAATTCTAGAAAGCAAGATTGAAATACCATTTGTATTCTACCATTGTAAACTACCACATTAACAAAAGATAGAAACATATATAATTATTTCAATAGATGTAGACAATTATTTACTAAAACTCAATAACTGTTTGTGATGAACACCATTGCCAAATATAAATAGAAGGAGTATCATCATAAATGGGAGAGCTCATTCACTTTCTTCTCCTTGGCTAATGAAATATCAACAGCACAAAAGACAGTGTCACTGGAGTTTTACTTAAGGGAGGACACACTTTTTATTCTCAGAGGAATTTGAATCAATAACTACAGAGTCAGAGACACAGGTAGAAATAAAGCTGGGAATGACCTAATTTCCTTTTGTTGGCTGGTTTCTTGTTATGTTCTGCCAGTTGATATATTAGAAAGCCATTTGGAGGCAGGTGGTGTCAGATGCTACCTGGTTCTCGTTATTTACTAGCTATACATGTGGATGAAGTCTCACTGATGCCCTTCATTTTGGAACAATGTTTAAAACTGGTGACTTTTTTTTTTTTTTGGAACAAACTGTAGTGATCTCCCTCAGAGCCCCAGCAGTACCCCCTCCACTGAAGGGAGAATCCTGCATCTGCAGGGCCTTTCCTCCACTGGTGAGGGCCTGTTAATATCAGCACTCCTTAAACCTAGGGATTGCAGCTGCCAGCTGCAGTTATTCCCATGTTACTTCTGGGCTCATTTTTCTCCCCTCCCCTCCTGTCCCCTCAGGTCCCCTCCCCCACCTTCATTTCCTTCCTTCCTTCCTTCTTTCTTACCTTTTTGCCTGCCTTCCTTCCCTTCTTCCTTCCTTCCCTCCTTCCTTCCTTCCCTCCTTCCCGCTTTCTTACTTTTCTGCCTTCCTTCCTTCCCTTCATCCATCCTTCCTTCCTTCCCTCCTTCCTTCCTTCCTTCCTCCTCCCTTCCTTCCTTCCCTCCTCCCTTTCTTCCTCTCTCTCTTCCTTTCTGCCCACTCCCTCCCTTCCATGTTAAATCAGCAAGTGTTGAATAATTTCCTCTAATGTTTTATCTTTAAAAATGTCTAGCATGATTTCTATGTCCTTGAATGGAGCCTAAATGATAGCCAGAGTGTTTATAGGCAACAGAATTTCAAACAGAGGTTGATCTTGAATACAACTTTTAAAACTTTGTCCAAATATGAGACTGAATTTCAAGACTAGTGGCTTGAGTACAGTATTCTTTTACAAAGATAAATAAATAGAAAAGAAGAACATAATTGAGAATTTCTAGCAGATTCATTTATTTTTGACATGTTACACTGCAGATCAGCAACATAAGAAGGAACTTCTCAGTGAATGGCAGTGGGTTGACTAGGTATCCATGCCACATCAAAACAAACAAACAGATAAAAACCATGATTTCTAGTTGGATTATAGATTTAATGTTAAGGGAATCTCCACTCTCAGGAAACCAGTTTTTGACTTTTGCTAACAATTCATTGGAACAAACTGTATTGATCTCCCTTAGAGCCCCAACAGTATCCCCTCCACAGAAGGGATACAGTTTGTATTTTCTAGGGTTTTCTTCATATGAAATAATACAGCATGAAATAAATTTTGTCTGCTTTTTCTTAGTAACATTCTTTTGAAATTAATTTACATGTCTGTTTATTATTGTGTAGTATTTTATTGTACAAATATACTACAATATATTAATTTACCTATTGATTGATACCTGAGTTATTTCCAGTTTTTGACTATTACAGTAAGATGGCTATGAACATTTCTGTCAGAATCTTTGTAAAGGCACATACAGCACTTTCATATCCTTTTACAAGCACTTAGGAAAGATAGCCGAATCCTATGGTAGGTGTATGTTTACCTTTTTAAGAAACTTCCAAATGATCTTTAAAGTGGCTGCATGACTTAAAATCCTACCTGCTGGGTATGATAATTCTGAATGTTCCCTATCTTGGGCAAATAATGGTATGGGCATCATTTTCAATCTTAGAAATTCTAATAAGCATGTAATGCTATCTCACTATGATTTGTGTTTGTATTCATCTAATAAGTAATGAAGTTCAATATATTTTAATGTGATCATTGGCTATCTATTTTTTTGGTAAAGTCTATATTCAAATACTCTGTCTATTTTTGATTGCATGTCTTTTCTTATTATTGGGATTTGATTATTATTTATATATTTTAAATAGAACTCTTTTTCCCACTCAAATTTGTGATTTGAAATATATCTATGAATATGTGACTTATCTTTCATTCTCTTTACAGTGTGTTTTGAAAAACAGATACTCTGGATTTGGGTAAAAGTGTATACAGAAGTGCAAAGTATGTGAAATATTCAAAGTATTTTTTTAAAAACGATTGGAAGAATTGAAGATTTATTAGAAAACAAAAGGAAATAAACCATTGTGGTTTGGGAATAAAGACAGACAAACTGAGACTACAATAGAATAAATAAAATAGAATCCAGATATAATCCAAGAAACATATAGTCAGTTGATCTTTGGAAACATATCTGAAAAAAACTGGGTGATTGAATTGGGGAAAATAACCTCTACCTCACTCCATACAAAATTAATTGGTTATTTATTATCAAATTAATTAAGCATAACAACTGAAACACTGAGGCGTCTGGAATAAAGAACAGGTGATTATCCACATGAAAATCAACAAATGAGACTTTGTCAATAATTAGAAGTTGCTTATCATCAAAACAGATCATTAAACAATGAAGAGACCACCCATAGATTAGAAGTAATTATCTATAGACTGAGAGTGTTTGTTAATATATAGAATTGTCGATTACTACACACACACACACACACACACACTTTACAAATCATTAATAAAGAAATTAAATCAGACTAATATGCAATTACTCTATAAAATATATGAATGGATAATAATCTCACGAAATATTCCAACATTATATGTGTTCAAGGAAATGTAAATTAAATCTCAATTTACACACTATAATTGCTTAAAATTTTAAAAATGATGAATTCTTTAAAAAGGCAAAAATACTATTTTTCAAAACTTACCCTGTTGTTTTTCCCTGTTGTCACGTCATCTACTAATGTATTGCTTTCCAGAACTTTCAGATGTCTATTTAGAAGTGTTCATTCTAGCTTTGTTTATGTTCTCTATACTCTGTCTTTGCTACAAGTTGTACCAGTTCCTCATAGATGTCACAAAATTTATTAAGTTTCTGTAATAACTTTTTGACATTGGAAACACCTTTCAGGGTCTGGTGAAGCATATGACATCTTCTTTAGAAAAACATTTAAAAATAAAATACATAGAAATATAAATCAAACGTATTATATTTATGTAAAATTACCAAATATTAAAATTATTACCTTGTATAGACTTGTATATTTGTGCTTTATTATTCATATTAGATAATATCTTTATACATGTATATTACTTAATATAATTTAAAATAAAGATGATCATGGCACTATTTTTAGATAGATTATTATATATAATAATAAAAATATATCTGTGATTTCTTTGGTTAGAGTATTGCTAAAGTACTGTACTTTGTGGCCTACCTTTCTAATTAAAAACACTAAATTTCATTTAAACACAAATAACTATGTATTTTCTCCATTTTATTTCATAATAAACTAGCAGATTATCAATTTTTCTTTTATTATTTCTGATAATTGTATTTTTAATTTCCAAAATATTCATGTGACTATTTTCCAAATGATATGCTTTGCTCACATTGTCTTGCCTTATGAAATCCATATCCATAAATATTTATTTTAACCTTCGAAAATCCTAATGTTAAATACTTTTCACATTGCTTTTGAAAAATCTTACTGTGGTAAAAATACTTAACATGGGCAAAACCCTCTTAAATTTTTTTTTACTCTATGTTAAATTCTGGGGTACATGTGCAGATCATGCAGGATTGTTACACAGGTATATACATGCCATGGTGGTTTGCTGCATCCATCCCCGATCATTTACATTAGGTATTTCTCCTAATGCTATCCTTCCCCAATGTCCCATCCTCTGCTACCCCTCCCCTATTTCTCTCACTTCCAAACAGGCTCCGGTGTGTGATGTTCCCTCCCTGTGTTCATGTGTTCTTATTGTTCAACAACCACTTATGAGTGAGAACGTGCGGCATTTGGATTTCTGTTCTTGTGTCAGTGTGCTGAGAATGAAAAATTTTTAAGAACATAATAAATTATTTTAAAATACATTGTACATTACATAGTGCAACAGATCTGTAGAACTGATTCATCTTGCATAACTGAAAATGTGGACCCCTTGAACAGCAGCTCCCAATTTCCTCCTCCCTCTAGGCCCTGGCAAACACCTTTTTACTCTCTGCTTCTATGAGTTTGCCTGTTTTAGATACTTCATATAAGTAGAATCATAATAATGCAGGACATTTTCTTGACCCCTTCACAGGTCTCATGACAAGGATGTCTTGTTTACTCAGCCTGTCCTGCTCAACTCCTCGCTGAAGGGGTCATGACAGTGAATGAGTGCAGGAACTGGAGCAAGCGAGTACAGAACCAGCTGCTTTGGTGCTGGCAGGAGCAAACTCAATGTGGGCCCCACAGTAGTATCCA